CGGCCGGAGCTGCAGGGCTGGGGCGCGCCGGGCAGGCCCCGCGGCGGCGGGCGGCACGCCCAGGAGCCGCTGGCCGCGCGCAGGGAAGGGCTGCGGAGGTGGCTGCAAACGCGGCTTCCCCGCGAGGGAGATGCAGCCGGGGCCCGGATCTCGGCCTCTCACCCCCACCCCACCCTCGGCCCGCCCTCCGCCTTCGCTCCAGCCCCTCCCGCAAGCCCGGAGGCGGGGAGCGCGCAGGACTCACCTGGCGCCGCGCGGAGCTGCGGGCGGGAAACGCCACCCTGCGGGACTGAGAACGAGGGCCCGGATTAAGGCCGGGAATCAGATTGTTCTGGCCATCAGGAAAGCTCTGTATTTGCATGACTTACAGAAGCACTCTTATTACATGACACACTTACCCAGGTCTTGGCCAGGTGCTCACGGGTAGGAAATGTCTGGTTTGACAGATAACAAAGCGTGCTCTAGCTAGAGATTTCTCCTCTGACAGGCCCAGCTTCCGCCTTTGAAGTCATTATCACCGAACTCACTGATACAGGGTTTTTGATTTTGTGTTTTTCCTTTTTGGTGCAGAAAATCTGTGAAAGAACTGTGTGTGCGTTCAGTGTTTTTGTTTTGTTTTGTTTTGTTTGTTTTTCCTTAACTTCATTTATTAAAGTTCATAAGTACAAAGAATAAAACCATGTTTAATAAAAGTTTACAAATTTTAGCAAGAGCATGGATAGTTTAAAGTTGTTTAGAAGAACTGAAAAAAGAATTCAAGACATGGGGGTGTTCATCACTCTTATGGTAGAAGAAAGAGGGATATAGGAAGCCTCCAGGCTTTTGCCTGAGATTGGGATGAAAGGGGACTCCCATTTCCCTTCTAGTTCCCCTACCACATCAGCACCTTAGGACAGGTGGGGAGTGCAGTCATATTGTTAATAAAATATGGGTGTGCTGCAAGCCCCAAAGACAGACTGCAGGGGCTAGCCAGCCTGATGAGCTAGTGGGAAGTCCCAAACACCAGTGGGAAGAGTCTGTGCGAACTCTCAGGAAGAAGTTGTGTGTGCGGTTGGACGGGAACCTTCCCTGAGCTGGTTGCAAGGAGTGAAACCGAATGGCCTCCTGGAGTGACTGACGTGGTCACCAGACTGCCTTCTAGGGAAAGGGTCCAGGAAGCTTTAGACCCTTGCCCATAGGAAGCAGAGTGGGCAAGTTTGGGATCAGAGCCTTGGGAAAGGCTCTAGCAGAGGAAACAAGAAGAGCTGGCACCAGGGACTCTCCAAGCACCTTCTGTGCCCTTCCCACATAACACTCAGCCTTGGCTCTCAGTAAATGTAGAGCAAATTTTAAAGACTAAATTTGACATCTGATCACAAGTTATTTGTGTGACTGTCTAGGTCCAGCCACGGGCACAGCATAAATTACCTTGTGTGGAGAAATAAGGAGGGTAAAAGGGAGAGTCAATACTGGCAAACCTTATGCCCAGAAAACAAGTTAGAAACCAGACAAAGTTTGGGCCGGCCCGTGGCTCACTTGGTGAGTGTGGTGCTGACAACACCAAGTCAAGGGTTAAGATCCCCTTACCGGTCATCTTTAATTAAAAAAAAGAAAGAAAGAAAGAAACCAGACGAAGTTTAATGTTTTGATCCCAGAGAGTCGTTTACTGCAATTTACTCATGCAACTGCTCTGCTGGGCAGACCTGCCCCACCCTGCCCACTCATAGAAGCCAGTGGCCCACTGCCGCTTCCTGGAGTACCAGATCATTGTTGAGCACTATCTGATCTTCGGTTCAAGTATGATTTAAATTTTCAGGGACACACTGCAGTGAATGTCTTTAAGAAGCAGGTGTAGGTAAAATAAAATCCCACAAGAGAAGCTAAAATGTAATTGTAAACAATCTGATGCAGGTTAAATTTTAGCTCTTACATCCATGGCATAGAAGAGAGCAGATTATTATTGCTCCGACTGTATAAGAAAAAAGGCAGAGTAGACTCTGAGAAATCAACAGACCAAAGAGTTGGGCAAAATTTGGTATCAGAACAAACCTTTGGCGACTAAGGAAAGCAGCTACAGCTGGGAAGGCACAGCAGCAATGCAAGCTTTAGCCAGGTCTTCATCCAAGATCCATTGAGTTCCATGTGGAAAAGCTGCCCAACAAAGGGGTGCAGTCTAGCCACACAGAGAGGGGAGACTAAGGCTCAGAGGCAAGGACACAGCCTCAGATGAGTGGTGGTGCAGTGATGAACTCAGCAGAGGGAAACTGAACAGAGGAGCTGGGGAGACTGACTCTTCAAAGAATGGCTCTTTAGAATCCCTACTGCAGAGCCAGGTTCCAAGCTCAATCCCCAGTAGCTATGCAGCCCCCCACCCCCACCCCCAGCAGGTTGAAAATATAGGAGCTGGGCATGTTTATGCTCCAACTCCCCTCTCCAGGCTCCTTCAGCTAATGAGATGAGATGAAGACTCCGGGAGCCAGAGTAGGCATCTTTACTCCACACCTCCCACCACCACCAATTTTTTTTTTTCTTTTTTAAAGATGACGGTAAGGGGATCTTAACCCTTGGCTTGGTGTTGTCAGCACCACACTCAGCCAGTGAGTGAACCGGCCATCCCTATATAGGATCCGAACCCACGGCCTTGGTGTTATCAGCACCGCACTCTCCCAAGTGAGCCACAGGCTAGCCCAACCTGAAAGCTTTTTAGAAATGCGGAATCTCAGTCCCCACCCTAGTACTGGTGAAACAGAAGTTGCATTTTAACAAGATTCTCAGTGATTCATATGCACAGTAATATGTGAGAAACACTGATCTACCTGTCCTTCACTTGATCATCATGGCAGAGCCCCAGGTGATATATATGCACTTTAAAGTTTGGAAAATACTGATTCGGTTGTCTCTTACCTAATTGTCATGGTGAGGCTGCAGATTCATGTGGCATGGGTCATAACAATATCTGAATAAGGAACTGTCTGAAGCTACCTTTCTCAAATGGTGACAGTATAACTGGCAGGCATTTGAGGCTTTGTAGTCATTCAATTTAGACACAGCCACAGAATGATAGTGTAAAGAAGTGACACCATGGACAGCACTCCCACACTCATCCTTGGTGTAAGAGATGATATGACGTAGGTGGTGGAGAGCCCACAGGGCCTCTGGTGTGCGGCACACTTGGGTTTGAATCCTGCCTTTATCATTACCTAGCTCTGGGAACTGAACTTGTTAATTGACTCTTCTGGATCTCAGTTTTCTCATTTGTAAAACTGGAATGACAATACTTATCTAATGCAGCTTGTTTTGAAAAGTTACTGGAAAAAATATATATATATCACTAGATTACACTTGACAGGCAGGTGTTTGATGAATATCAGTTCCATCCCTTTTCTTGTCATGTAACACCTCGCTCAATTAAAATTAGATTTTTAAAAGTCCTTGAAAAAGAAAAATAAGTTGCTTGGAGGTAATATCCATGCTATGACACCATGGCCATTAAAATTCCTCATTTCAGGAAGGAAGCCACAGGGTGGGAGAGATGTGGACAGAAGAGAGTAAAAGAGGAGAAGAGAGAGAGGACAGAGGATAGCTGACTTATCATGACTTTGTCTCCCTGCCTGGGCAATTAATAATGTCATGGCACATTTTTCAGGTGCCAATACAAAGAGCATAAACAAATGAATGAAATGCTTTACAAATTTAATTTATCCCTGTCATGTTTTAAAATATAGCTTACGAGATTTAGGGCTTTGCTCCTGTGGTAATAAGCGAATGTGATGTTGGGCACTATTGCTGGTTTAACATAATGAAATTTACCATGCTATTTTATTAAAATATCTCTGAGGCCAGCCCGTGGCTCACTTGGTAGAGTGCGGTGCTGATAACACAAAGGCCACGGGTTCGGATCCTATATAGGGATGGCCGGTTTGCTCACTGGCTGAGCGTGGTGCTGACAATACCAAGCCAAGGGCTGAGATCCCCTTACCAGTCATCTTTTTAAAAAAAATTTAAAAAATAAAAAAATAAAATATCTCTGTATTATTCAAAAATAAACAATTTACTTGATAATGTTACTCCAAATTTTATTGTGCACCTTCTGCGCTCTTGGCTTGATTTGTGGAGAAGAGGTATAATACTACTCTATGCAGCCAGCATAGGTAGGTCCCAAATCCTCACCAAAATTATAGCTGGAAGCCAATCTGTCACCATAAGGTGACTTTGTCTATATACTTTCTGACCTACTGGACTTGAGTATTTTGTAAATCATTATGCAACTCTAGAAAGCATGTCCTGCAAGATTAACTTGATGCTGAGAAAAGATATGCAAATAATAACCAGGCTCAGGTGAGTGAGGGGCAATCGAGAAGGTGGATCATAAGAAGAGTTCAGGACATTTTGAGTTTGGGCAAAAGACAGAACCTGAGAACACCACATTTACAGGATGGGCAAAGGAGGAGAGGACCATCCAGGAAACTGAGAAGAAGCGAGGGGGGTGGGAGGGAAACCAGATGGGGTTTGGGGTTGCAGAGGTCAAGAGAAGAGAGAGTTTCAAGAAAGTGGGGGGTGGGATCAATACTGTCATATGCTCCAAAAAAGTTAAGTAAAATAAATTTAGCCAGCAGAACAGACATTACTGACTTTGGTGGGCAAGCACATTAAAGCATTGGAGAGGCAAAAGCTAGGCTTGTGAAATGATACTGTCAATAGTTTTGAAAGTGTCTGTCTCCTCATACATACCCTCACCACACATGCTATTCTTAAATGTTTTCATCTTTCCTAATTTGACAGTGAGAAAGCAGTGCCTCCATGTAGTTTTAATTTTGTGTTTCTCTTACATGTGAGGGCGAGTGTATTTTTTTTGAAAAATGCATTTGTACTGATTTTTCTGTGAACTGTTCATTTTTTTCATGGGCTATTAGTTTTTCCATTGATTTATATAAGCTCTTAATTAATAAATGTAACTCTTTATGTGTGAATTGATTTGCAAATATTTTCCACAGGTTGTTATTTTTCAATGTTTTCTTCTATGGCTTCTTGGTTTTCTATCATAGTTTTATTTTTATTTTTTTTTATTTTTATTTTTTTTTAAAAGGATGACCGGTAAGGGGATCTCAACCCTTGGCCTGGTGTTGTTAGCACCACGCTCAGCCAGTGAGCAAACCGGCCATCCCTATATAGGATCCGAACCCGTGGCCTTGGTGTTATCAGCACCGCACTCTACCGAGTGAGCCACGGGCCGGCCTTCTATCATAGTTTTAGAGAGGGATTCTCCTCTAAATGATATATTCAAATCTATGGTTTCAATGTTCTTAGATGACCTCAAGTTCTGGGGCATGTTAAAGAAAAAATTATTCTGATTTTTATTAAAGGCAGTAAGGGAGACTTTATTCAAGGGACTACTGCAATGGGGTTTTGTAGTGGGAGAGAAAAATTGAGCTCAATCCCAAATACAAGAAAAAGTGGAATAGCCAAGGAGTGCTGTGGAGGGGAGGACTCAGTGGATGGAAAATTACTAAGAGGAGACATCAGGGCTAGAGGAAATTCTTGCTTTTATTTTATTTTATTTTATTTTTTTAGTTTGTAAGATAATTTTTATTTTTACTTCTTTTTAAAAATGGACATTAATGTTCAATATATATTTACATCTCAAAACATCACCCAATTTAGGGCCGGCCCGGTGGCGCACTGCTGTAGTGCGCCGCTTGGGAAGCGCGGCGGCGCTCCCGCCGAGGGTTCGGATCCCACATGCAGACCGGTTCCCGCTCACTGGCTGAGCGAGGCGCGGGGGCGACACCGAGGGCTGCGATCCCGTTGCCGGTCCCGGTCCGGTGCGGGGGCGACACTGAGGGTTGCGATCCGTTGCCGGACACGGAAAAAGACAAAAAAAAAAAAAAACATCACCCAATTTAGTGAAAATAAGGCACTCAATGGCACACTAGCAGAAGCTGCCAATTAATTACTAATCATTTTATAAGTCAAATCTACATAAAAATAAACACTAAAGAGAATAGATTAACCAAAGTTAATATGTGACAAGCATAATTATAAATAAATACCAGATTTTAAACGGGAATCTGTAAAAGTTTTACTACCTAAGGATTTTCACTCAAAGTAAACAAAATATATAGTAATCCCAAACTTTCAGGATAGCAAGTCAATAGACACATTTTCTCTCTGTGGAGGCCTATCTAACCTCGGTAACATTTCTGGATGAAGTATAAAGTTATTATCGTACATTTTAAAAGGATTGGTCTAGTTATGTTTCCTCTAATTTTAATTCCTCCTCTTCATTTACAGTATTGGCAGGTGTAGCATTATGTGGATTGTCTAGAATGTCTTTGCTTAATCCATTTGACTCATTTTGATCCTCATCTGTATTAACATCTTCAACTGTCGGTGCCCTAGGTGTGTTCATTAACATGTCATTTCCTAGGGACTGACTATTACTCAGTAGCTTTGCCTGCCTTCTTTCCAAGGCCAGTTGTTTAGAGGAAATTCTTGCTTAACTGAATTACAAGGAATTTCGCTGCAGGCAGGCCAGGGTGATAAAATATCACCTGGGGGGTGGTGGGAGATGAGGAATTTGATAAGATATTGAGAGTAATCAAATATCAAGAATGGGGGATTCTGGCTAAACTAACTTAGCAGGATTCTTGCTAAAATTGGGCAAGGCAAAGATGGACACAGAAGGGCAAAGTCCAAGGCCTAGTTGAGAAATGGCTTAGAGAAGCCTGACTAACGTTTGATCAAGGAGAGAGTCTTTGTCGGGTGTGACTGTGATGGTAGGAGCCTCTAGAGATAAAGTCCTATTGCTGATGAGGTAGGACACCAACCATCCACAAGGATATTGGAGTTACTCAGGAATATGGGAAGACTTAGGGAGGGGAAGAAAAATGAAGACTCTGTGATTGAGGAAAGTGACAGAAGTGGGGGTTTACAAAAAAGAAGGAGTAGAGTAGATAATGAGAGGACCAGACCTGAGGTTTGGAGGAGCTGAGCTTTTAGACAAGAGCCATGGCAGTGAGTGAAGAGGAGACAAACCCCGTCTCCCAACTCTGAGGTTCATGGAAAATGTGAAACTTCCTCTCAAAATGGCTCCACATAAAATCATAACCTCAGAGTATACCAGGTTTCAGTTAAGGTAAGAAGTAAAGGGAACTTTGATGAAGACTAAGAACATAGGTTAATTGGTACATTATGAAATGGGCCTTGTAGAGATAGTAACAGAAAAGTGCAGAAGATCAGTAGGAGACAGTGTTAGGGAAGACAAATTCAGAAAATCCTGGTCTGAGTCCATTTTGTGTTGCTATAATAGAATAGCTGATACTGGGTAATTTATAAAGAACAGAGATTTATTTCTTACAGTTCTAGGGGCTGGGAAGTCTAACGTCAATGGGTTTGCATCTGGTGAGGGCCTTCTCTCTGCATCATCCCATGGTGAAAGGCAGAAGGGCAAGACAGCATGTAAAAGAGACAGAAGGGAAAGGGGTCAAACTCATCCTTTTATCAGGAACCACTCCTGTGATAACTAACCCATTTCCATGATAACAAAACCATTCCCACGAGAATGGCATGGATCCATCCATGAAGGTAAAGCCCTCATGACCTAATCACCTCTCAAGGTCCTTCCACTCAATGCTGTTGCATTGGAGGTTAAGTTTCCAACACATAAGCCGGCCTGTGGCTCACTCGGGAGAGTGCGGTGCTAATAACACCAAGGCCACGGGTTCGGATCCTATATAGGGATGGCCGGTTGGCTCACTGGCTGAGCGTGGTGCTGACAACACCAAGCCAAGGGTTGAGGTCCCCTTATTGGTCATCTTTTTAATAAATAAATAAATAATAATAAATTTGCAACACATGAACTTTGGGGGACACATTAAAACCATAGTACCAATTTTAAGGAGAAATTCTAGGAAAGAATTGGTATGGGTTGTCTACATGTTGGGCAATGACTGGGGACAGTAGAAATCCTTATCAGGCTACAGAAATGGTACAACCATCAGGCCCCTTCCTGGTGTGCCAGTGATCTGGGCTTGAACTGATTGCTTGCAGAGACAGGTGTCATCTAAGGAGCAAAGAGACAAATACTGAGCATGTCTTAAAGTCAGGAAGGACTGAAGACCTTATGAGATGTCAGTGAGTTCTATTCCTTTAGGTTCTGTCCCTCAATGAGAAACAAGGATTCAAATCTAGCTGAAGTGGAAACATCTTGTATTCATATTTACCTTGTAAGTCTCCACCCCATTCTCAGCTGTGCCAACACACGGTCTTAAGAACATCTTTTATTCTTTGGGTCCAACTGGTGCCTTTTATATCCTGAACAGTTGTTCTTTATATGTGCTGAATCCTTTTCTTGCTGCCATACAAGAGGTTTATTGATCTCACAATCAACTCTTTTGCTTGATTTTCATGCCAATTGACAATGTCAGGATGCTTTTTTGATACAGAAAAGGTTTGGATGTCATTTGCATCTCATTAGTATAGTCAAGTGAGAATCTCCCTTCTAACAAACTCAGATTGCAAGTTAGTGAAAGCAGTTATGTGTTAGCTGTACCAAAGCTTTCAGTTGGTCTTGTTTCCGCCTTTATTTCTACATTGACATTTTCTTAGATTTTCAGATCTACTTATACAGCCTATAATAATGCAGATACATTTTATGGAGTTGGGAGGACTTAGCCAGACCAGGTTTTAAAAATATTTCCGGTAAGCATGACTTGAGTTTGTGCCTGGTTACCAAGCAGTCTCTAAATCTCTATTTGTTGCCTCTCAATGTTGCATGTATTCCAAGTCAACAGTTGCACAGACAACATCTCAAATATCCCTAGAATACACATCAAAGGGATATTTCAAATAGTGTACAAAAATTTGACTTTTTTGCTTGACTAAGATATTTTTAATGTATAATATTTTAACTCAATACTTTTCTTCAATTTATCATTAATATAATAGTAAAACCTGTACCTATAATACAGAAAGTAATTTTATTTTCTGTAATAATTTTATTCAGGGTCTTCAAAGCGTTTATTAAGTTGCAAATAGTAGTATGTAGTTGTTTTTTTTTTTTTTTTTTTTTTTTTAAAACTCAAAGTTGAGCCACATGGTTGAGATTTAAATAACTTCTTCATAGGGGAGAGGGAGATAGGGTAGTAAATGATTGTCAGAGGAAATGAATGAGCCCAAACAGCAGACAATAGTTTGTAAATGATTCTCTTATGAACCAAGTGGCAAGGTGGGAAGGTGAGGGGTGGAACTGCACTGTGAACAAAGGTTGTGTTATTATGCAGGTAATGTCTCCTGTCTCCCAAGTAATCTCTCAGCTTCCCTCCTCAGTGGAATAGATAAGTCTGTCTGGGCATGGTGGTGACCTTTCCTGGGTTTTTTGTTTTTATTTTTCTTTCTGGTGGTTAATCTTTGCTGGTTATTTGATGTGATGAGATTCCTAGGGAGGAGGTCTTAAGACCATAGAAATTTTTTTTTTTTTTTTTTAAAAGATGACCGGTAAGGGGATCTCAACCCTTGGCTTGGTGTTGTCAGCACCACGCTCAGCTAGTGAGCAAACCGGCCATCCCTATATAGGATCCGAACCCGTGGCCTTGGTGTTATCAGCACCGCACTCTACCGAGTGAGCCACGGGCCGGCCTAGTAGTTGTTTTAATTATGGAAGGGCAATGAAGCTCTAAGAGAACTGAGACAAATTGCCCAGACTGTAGACTTGATGAAGCTATTTCATTTAAATGCTTTTGAAGATTCTACCTTGCATATACACAATTCAAATGTGTGATAATGTTCCAGTTGTGTGTGATTATGTTACTACTGTGACCAAATGATGGTATGAACACTAGGTACAAGTACAATCTGGTGAAGGGCACAGACTCAGGAATCAGACTGCCTGTGTTCAGACCCTGGCTCCACCTTCCTGGCTGTGTGATACTGAACAGGTTATTTAATGTCTCTGTGAAATGGAGCAGGACAAGTCCCCATGTAATGCGGGCTAAATGAGATTGCACATGCATAGCATTTAGCACAAGTCCTGGCACTTCATAAACCCCAAGGATTACAGCAAGTGGCAAAAACTACTTATGAATTCATTTTAAAAATCAATGTGAGACAGAATTTTACATGAATTGATGTAGTATTTCTTTTCTGGGCCAATTCAAAATCACAATTTTACTACCATATAAAAAAATTTTTTTAAGGCCGTTTTTTAACGTTTATTTTAACTTAAAAATTGTAATTAAACTATGGGGTACAATCTGATGTTTTGATACATATATAGGTTGTGTAACAATCAGGTACAATTTCACTAACATTTTCTGCCAACTTTAGATTTGAAAACTTTCAAATTTAGAGAAAGTTGAAGGAATAGTACAACCAACACCTCTGTACCCTTATCTAGACTCACCAACTGTTAACATTTTGCTACGTTTACTTTCTATGTGCTTTTATACAAGCAGCCTTTTTTTTTTTTTTTTTTGGTGGCTGGCCGGTACTGGGATAAGTGGGCTTCATAAAGTTCAGAAAAGTATTTCATCTGTCTGTCTTTACCTAACTATTTTCATTTTTCCTCTTACCTTTTTCTAATAATATTATCTATTTTCATTTTTTAAAACCCTCTGAACACAAGTTGCGGATATCTTACTCTTCAGCATGAAGTTCCTAAGAACAAGGACTTTTTTTTCATAAATATTATCACATATAAGAAAATTTAGGGGCCAGCCCGGTGGCGCACTCGGTAGAGTGTGGTGCTTGGGAGCGCGGTGGCACTCCCACCGAGGGTTCAGATCCCATATAGAGACCGGTCTGCTCGCTGGTTGAGCGCAGTGCGGGCGCAACACCGAGGGTTGCGATCCCGTTACTGGTCAAGAAAAAAGACAAAAAGGAAAAAAAAAAAAAAGAAAATTTATAATAATTCCGTAATGTTGTCTCACATCCAGTAAATATTCAAACCATATATCAAATG